TTAGTCTAAGGAAAATATTTGACAAACAGTGCTTTTCTTCTGGCAGTAAATAAGCACTGCACTTACAACAATTCTCCTTCAGATGCCACCCTTCCAGCAATCACCTTTATCCCAATATTTGCTTAAGCCTGGACTTTACTCTTATTTACAATATAGGAATCAATATGTATGGCTCCTGCAGCCCTCCTCCCTGTTAGTTGTACAGGATTGAGACTAGATGAAAAGGGCAGGGGAAGGGATGCTGACTTTCATCATCTCCTTGGCTGGGGCTGAGAGCAGAAATGAAAAACAGTGTTGGTATGTACAAGCACATTTCTACTAACACTTGAGCAGTAAAGCTTCCTTTCATCCCTAAAGTGTGCCAAGATCTAGTGGGAGTCTGTTATTTTGGAAATGCATACATTCAGCACTGTGGAGGCACGGAGAGGACGATGGGGAAGAGCAGCATTTTTCCAATGGTGAAAAGGAAAACCTCACTGAGATCCGAGTGGTGATGTGGAGGAAATACCAGCTTGAACATCAAAGTTGGAATCTGTTTAAGTTAAACATCATTCAAAGGCTATGAAGTGCTGAGATCAGCAGTGTTTAGTTACATATTTATCTTCAGACTACCCCATTTTAAAATCAAAACACCTACTCATCCCAGTTAACACTCAAGAGCAATACCTCCCCATTACCAGTCACCATGGTTTGCACAAGACTGGACAGCCAACTTCTCACCGAGGAAGGTCAGAGCAACCTGGCCATCCCTGGACAAAGCAGGCCTCAAGCAAAGATCTGCTTCTGTCTAAATAGGAAGGAGATTAAAGGGAAAAACTGGAAATCCAGAAGAATTCTCATAGTCTGGAAATATTTTCTCTAAGAACAAACAGTGAAATACTGTCAAACTGCTCTTTTAAATCCTATTATTTCAGCTGTGCTTCAGTTCTTCCCAATGTTCTCTATATAATAAGCGTTTCAAATGAAATGACATTATTTTAAAACACACTGTAGTAGGCAATTACAATTCCTGAATACTAAAATGGCAATATAACATAAGCAAAATTTACTGTTGTTCCTTAACTTTCTGCCATGTTCATTATATTTTAATGAATAAGGTTTCACATTAATTTTTCAAGCCTTTTCTTCAGAATCACATATTACCTCAGTAATTGTGTTACAGAATTAGGTCTCTATTTACATTCTCCTCTTGAATCCTAGAGACAAAACCTTGCTTTGATTTTCCATAGGTCAGCAGTATTACTTCTTATTTTCAGTAGAGCACCACAGAGCTAGCAGCACTGCTCTGCCATGCTAGGACATCCCAGAGACAATCAGTGCCCAGGCCATTGTGTACAACCTGCTGACTCTGTGAGAAGATAGCAAGAGGCAATGCCACACAGTAGTGGCAAGTGGGATCTGTGGGCACCAGAGCAGTGTCTGTAAGTCTGGATACACCTGAGGACACTTCACTGAAGGTCAGGCTTCTCCTCTACAGTTGACTGTGTTAGCGTTCCTCTACTGTTGTGCTCACCAGCTCACCATTTTCCACATTCTCTCTTACCTCTGTCACTCTTGAGGAGGCACAGTTCACCTAAACAGCCTTTTCTAATGTGCTAACAGCAAAAAAAAGAACAAATGCTAATATCACAGTCCAGATGACCACGAATTTCACCCACAGGTATCACCAATGAAGGATACTGAAGTTTCCAGGCAAGGACAGGAAGAAAAGGAAATTTTGGACACCTCCCACCCATCCTGCATCCCCCCTGGTGGATGACCATGCCCAGTGGGATGGGCACACTGCAGCACAGGGATCCTGTCAGCATGCTCTGCAGATCTGGGGCTGAAAGGCTGCTGGTTGATACCACCAGAAGATCCTGACAAATGGAACCAATCGAGGTGTGCCAGTTTCAGGAAACATGAAGCTGGCAGAGAGATAAAGAAGTTCAGTTGTCCCCAAAAATGTCCTCAAAAGCCCTTACCACAGTATTCTAAGAAGCAGTTCCTCATTGGCATGACAGTAGATACAGCACTCGTCTGCCACAGCAGACAATTTCTGCATTACTTAAAGGAATGACACAGCCAAACCAAGTAGCTTAAACTGCTGTAAGTGACACTAGTAATTCATTTCATGCTGCAGCCAAAAGGTGAACGTTTTCCCCCAGAAAATCTTCAGCCCTCCCCTGCATAACCAGCTGTCAACTCTTGACAGAAAAGAAAGAGGAAAGAAAAAGGGAGTAAGACGATAGGCAAGAGACAACATGAAGGTAGCAGACCAGAAGGTGCCACACATAGGAGAAGGTGGGGATGTCACACAATGCAGTGATTTTCACTTATGATAAGTAACTCTACTTTCCACCTGGGACAAAGACTGGGAAGAAACTGAGAAGTCCTGAGCAGAAATACAGATGCTGGCCAATAAGCAGGCCCTGCTTGCCATCTATCATAGATTTTATTTCCTGTTCTCCTTGTCTCCAGCAGCTGGTCACACTGCTACGTGTGAGCATGCTGGGCAGAACCAAGATTCAGGGATGTCTTTCCTCCAATGAAATGCACATGTGTTAAATCTAGTTATTCTATATGCTCTCAGTGCTTTAATTATTAATGTTGATTAACTACAGGAAATCTCATTCAATTAGAATCTTTTTTTTTTCCTCATCTCTGAGATAGAAGTATGTTTCTCTATTGAAAGATCACTCTGCCCTTGTTCCTTGTGCAGTTATGGAGAACACAAATTAAATCCTAACTCCTGGGACACTGCAAGCCATGAGATGTTACAGGCATATACTTGGGTTCTACTGTTCTGTTACTACAGCAGGTCAAGCTTTCATCCTTGCCATTCATCCCTGGTTTCATCCTATTCCTCTCTTCACAGCTACTATACTCTTAATTCCCTTCTGTTTCAAAGTTGTGCCCATTCACTTCATACATCCCCACAACAGCAGGGGCTTTTTCATAGGTAACGCTTCCCTCCCATCCCACTTTCTCCATGCCAGAACTTGCTATATTCCCTTCTCTCCACAGCACCAATTCTAAGGCTCTACAACGCCTACCCCACACCGTGACAATCAGATATCCTCCTCCACTTCCCCAGTTGATGCACTACGATGCCCAGATGTTCCCTATGGCTCTGCCCTGCTGCTGCTTCCCCAGTCTCCCTCCATAGCCATGGCTCGCTGTAACCTGCAGATCACAGCCAGCACTGATTCCAGAGGCAGACACATAAGTGCTGAACAGGCAGGCAGCAGTATCCCTTACATCCTCACACTTTCCTCTGTTTAATGATTTTCCCTTAAATCCACCACATTTTGCTCACTGACACCCAGCACCTCTCTCGATGCTTCAGCATTGAGTTTTGAACTCTGCACCAGCATCGCTCCACAACACAGATTTCTATCCGCTTGAACAGAAAGCCTTGCAAGCTTTGCCAGCTACCACTACTCCTACAATTTCTTCCATGGCATGCATCTGCTTGCAGAGGATGGGGAGGTGCCCTCATTGCTGTCCAGAGGGCTTTCTGGAGTGCTGTCAGCCTGCTGCGTGCCAAGCTCTCTCTGACAGCTGCATCTAACTCCCACTGAGGCGCTGTGTTCTTCAAGTTGGCCACCCTGAAGAGTGTTTTGCCTGTGTTTGGAGTCAACAGACACATACAGAGCAAACCCTATTCACTAGGGGTGAGGGGGTCCTAAAGATCCTGGGTGTTCTGTTGTGTATAGAGGTACAAAATAGCCCAAGATGGGAAAAAAAAACAATCTCTGAAATATCCACAGATCACATACTTACTAAAATATAACCACACGTACTTTGAGAGAGGGAGAAATATCATGAATAATTTACTTGGCACATGAAAAGCACTGTTGTGTATTTCATATGTGTGAAATAAATAAGCAGAAATTACTTAATTTGAATAACACTGAACACCTGATTCCAGAGACTGAGCAACACTTCACGCTAAGGCATGTAAGAGCTCTTGGCTTGTTGACATTTCACCAGAACAGAGGAAAATTAGCAAGTTGAAAACAAATTTCTATTGCTGCTTGCAGATAAATATTCACAGTGTATCCACTAGGCTCCTAAACAGCACCTAAACTGAGCCTTGACATTATGAAATGGCTGCATTTCATTGCTCATGTTGTTACAGAAAAGGCTGAGAAATTGCACCTGAGATGACAATGTTGTTGTTTAGTGTCAATCATGCAGAATCCAACATTGAGAACAGTAAGTTGAGCTGTGTGTGTTTCTACATTTGACTCTACAGTTTCTCCCCAGAATTTTGAAGTAGAGCTCAGGAAAACAAAAAAAAACTCTTTTTTTTTTGAGCATCTGTTTTCCCACCCATAACTTTGTCTGTCTATACAGTAAATGAGACTGGAAGGCTCCTTTACTTATAAAAAATCCCAGTGAGGCTCTTCTGCTAACTGTAAACTCCATGCTGTACGAGGATTTACATGGCATTTGCCTCCTGCCATCAGAGCAGCCAGGTAGTATTCAGAAAACCATAAATAATTTATCTGTGCTGTAATCGAAGCTTTCAGATATAATAATCAGGCACATTTCTCCAGAAATGTTTTGATGAATAACAAAGTATTTATCTTCCAGATGCTAATTGGTCTGATTTGGGTTTGAGCAGTGGTTTTTTTTCCTCTGCTAAAACTGGAAAAGCAAGGGACCTCTCCTGTAACATAGATGGATGTAGCTCTGCTTCAGTCTGTGACTATTATGTCACATCTACCTTTTCTTTAAACACTTCTAGGATCTCTCACCTTTAAAAACAGAAGCAGTGTGTGCAAAGAATCTGCAGTCATTGCTGAGACTTCTTTCCTCCTGTGGCTCCAGCTTCAAGTTTCAATGCCAGCCACATAAACACGGGAGCATAAACACGGCTAATGTCTGCTCCACTGTCTCCTTCAGTGTTGTATGTGTGCTCCTGTCTTCCCACTGCACAGCCAGGCAATGCAGGTGGCTTTGTTTCACTCTGAGGAAAGAAACCCAAGCGCTATGAACAAGCTCGTACTTACTGAGCTCGGCAATGCTCCCCACACGTGTAGCCAGTAAAGACTGCTCGATGGTCCTTAGCTCGGACTGGCTGAACATCTGCACTTCTCCAGGCTTGTTTGACCGTTGCTGGTCTTTGTGAAGGTTCAAGCTGTCCGGCAAGCAGAGAACACCTACAGTGAATAAAAAAAGAAAAAGAAGTTCCATGTAATTTCAGTCACTACTGCTGTCACCACCTCGTATTCATGGAACATTTTAAGGCTCATGTGAGTAGAGCCCAAAGACAATAAGTATTTGTAACTCAATGTCACAGATGACTCATGTTCTCAGAAGTGGCCCTCATTAACTATTCTGAATGTCCTCGAGTCACTCATGATGTCACCAAGGGATAATGTTTACAGAAAACCCCATGTATTTGCCCATGGTGGAGTCAAGAAGGTTCCAGAGAAGCCTTCTGGAATCTACTTCAAAACCATGATATCTCAGCAACAGAATCCTTCAGGATTGACTTTAATATTATACGTAAGAAGGTTGATACATTTACAGGATTTTCCTGTATGGGGAATTCCACTGACAGTTGCCAAAATAATAGGCAGCATCAAGATGCCTGCTGTGTCATTGATGAGTTTATTGGATTTCTTTTGTAAATACAGCTCCTGACAACTGAACTGCATAGATTTCAAAAGCCCATCATGCAGAAGCCCTAAAAGCAGCGAACTTTGATGGGGAGGCAAAAGCAAGGCTGCTGACATTAAAAAAAATTACAGTACACATCCATGAAGGCACAAAAGTCAATTTCTGCCATGATATCTAAACCCTCGGGGGCAGACAGGGGGCATGTGTTTGTTAGTCAAAATCACTGTCATGCTACAAAACATGTAGCAAATGCTTCATTGCCAACCTTGAGTAACAGATACATGGAAGCCCAGCCTGGACAGTAAGCTCTCCTCCAGTCCTGAGCTCTGGGAACAAGCAACTATGGCCATGCTTACCCACAGTACTGCCTTCCAAATCCTTCTGGGACCACACAAGTGGACACCCCTGGGAGGTAGTGGGGTTGTACCTCTTCATGGCAATTAAATTCTATCTTATCTCTGATTGTGGAATTTGCAACAATTTGCTTTGAAAATAAGACAAAGTAGGAAATGTTGGTTTTTTTTAATTAGCTTGTATTCTTTGTTCCATTTAAGCACAGGGGAGAAATCCCCCTCAAGGACCAAGAAAGCACTTTACAAAAGGCTTTAAGAAAAAGGTATGTATCTCATATCTTCAGAAAGGAGAACTCAGGAAGTAACCGGTGACTAAATCTATTAATCAGTAATTCTGTTAGTATCATAGAATCATAGAATGGCTTAGACTGGAAGGGACCTCAAAGGCCACCCAGTTCCAACCTCGTGCCACAGGCAGGGCTGCCACCCACCAGATGAAGCTGCCCAGGGCTCCATTTGGCCTGGCCTTGAATGGCTCCATGGCTGGGTCATCCACAACTTCTCAGGGTAACCAGTACGTACACATTTTAAGTCCCTTGCTGAATGGCTGCCTTAACCCCTTCTTTATTTTGGTAACAACCCACCAAACATCACTGCTTTGGAGCACTGCAAGGCCAGGCAATCAATGCTCCTGGAAAATGATGTTTCTCAGACACTTTTTTAGCTCTGCCAGCTTCACATACATTCCCCTCTCTGATTGCAAACAGTCTGGTCTAAGTTCTCTTGCAGCACGGACCTAAAAACACCCATCTTGAGAGAAGAGAGGTGGTGAAGGCTCAGTGAGCACGTCCTGCATGAAAAGCAGGGGGCACACATTGGAAAAAACAAGACCAAAGTCCTCACATCCCACAGCTGTAGATAGCAGACTGAACCTGACCCCATTCCCACACAACAGCAAGACCGGGTCAAACGTCTCAACAGCCTGTTTGAGCACTGGGGATAGAAGAGCAGTGGCAGCCATTAATTCCAGTCCTGATTGCAGGGCCAGGGTTGTGGCCACTGCATTCAAACAACATGAGTATTGAGGGGAGCTGTGGGCAGGGATACAAGGCATCTGACACAGCAACAGGGACTGAAGGATTCAAAGCACTGAGGTAAGGGGGCAAAAAGGGGCAGCAATGAAAAAATATTAAACAAGTAATCAAAAATTACCAAACAAGCTTTCCAAATTCACTTCTGATCACTCAGTGTTTGCCTTGAATCAACACTTAGCATGATATTTATATTCTGTAGATGTGCAGATCTTGAAATGTTCAACACCTGGATTTAGAATGCAGACTTGCCTGCATATTTTAATAAGTATTCTCTCTCGGAAATGTTTCTCATTTATTTAGATTACTCTTCATAATTTTAATGGATAGAAATTAAGACAAAATTGGAAGAGTCTTCCCTGAAGAAAACAGATGTGTAACATCAAATACTCTAAAAGACTTCTAAAAACAAGAAATAGTACAAACAACTTTATGTCATCTTCAAAAGAAAAAGAATACCCAACAAGAAACTAATTAGTGAAAATACATGTTGAAGTGGGGGGGGGGGGGGGAAACCAACACAACTGTTTTAAGGTACCTTTATGAACAGGATTGAAATGGTTTAAAATCCTAAGATGCACAGGAAAGCTGTCTCAGAGTGATGAGTGGTGGCACACAGATATTTTATTCTCAATTTAGTCTCTGCCTGTACCCACAGCCGCGCCTCCCCTTACAAACAGCCCTGATGATTAATTACTCTGTTCTGTAGCGAGGGGAGTGTATTCTTAGGTTTTCAGATGAAAAGTGCAAATGAAATGCAAAATGTACCATTGTTAAAAAACTTAGCAAATTATAGGATATGTCACGCCAAAGGGTTTTTTCACTTGAGTGTGACATGATTAAAGCCATGCAATAGCCAAACATCTGATGCTTACACGCCAGCTTCACAACTATAATTGACCACAGCGGGTGACCAGTGGTGTGCTGGAAGATTTTTTTATAACTCTCATCATTTTGCTGGAGAGCATTTCCTTTTTTTGCCAGAATGGAGAGAGGGAATTCTATGCTCGAGCACACAGCTCTGCCACTTTCCTAGCTTCAACTGTTTTCCCCAAAAACAATTAAAGAAAAGTTACCGAAATGCTTTTTGGCAGAAAAACTTGCTCTATTTTATCAGTGTTTCATGTACAGCTCAAACTTGCTGATGAATGACTATGGAAGGAAATTGCTCCCTAGCAAGAAGGGAGCATGCTGAATTGAAGATGAATGCAAAAAAAAAAGGTAAAATCTTTGTGATTATAAATGTCTTCTTCATATAAATAGAAACATTTAAATAGTCATCACCTGCTTTCACTGGCTTGGCTACAGTTCAACCTCCTCACGTTAATTCCCTGCTGACTGGCGTTATTCACTTGCTTTGTCAGCCACAACTTCAGCCTCACTGCGTTATACTTGATGCACAGGTAAGGATCTCGTGTTTCCAGCAGCCTGAAAGACGGGGCATTTTCCCTTGCTTTTTTTGCTCTTTTGACTGTTGCTGTCATTCCAAGCCAAAGATTTCTGTGCAGTATCTTCAGAAATAACTACGATATCTGTCTTTTCTCTCTCCTGGCATTGCTAAATGTCCTTCCTTTCTGCATGGTTACTCAGCCCTGTGCTCTTCTTTGCCCGTTACTTTATTCCTCATCTTCCTTCCAATTCACTAGAGTAGAAATCAAGCTGTCTGTTCTAGCAGGATGAATGTGGGGCCAAACGCGACATGCCCCTGGCTGCTCCATGTCCATGGTGATGTACGGCAGCCATACGTCGCATTTATGACTGCTATGAATCACTGGAGCAATGAGAAATAACCAAAGCATTCCTGTGTGTTTGGCTTTTGTCACATCTTGTCATGCTTGGCTGTAAGATTCTTGGGGCAGGTATCTGTCTAAAACATCCAGAATGGATCAAACCCAAACTTTGCTTTATAAGCTGCTGTTTTTTATTTGCCCTTGGCCTCAGCTTGCCTTGCAGTCTGTAGGTAAAAGACTGCAGAGAAACAATAAAAATACTTCAAAATCAGCAGCATGCCAAAAAAACTCCCAGTGACAAGCTCTTAGTGCTCTCCTCCCAAATCTTCAGGGAGAAAAATACGGCCATCATAGGGAAGATCCAATGAACAATTAATACACTCTGCATTTTTCCTGCCCTCTGGGCTCAGTGGAAACATAAGCCAGAGCTCCCCAAAGACCTAAAAATCTCAAACCAAAGAAGTATTGCACAGAATGACATTGAAGACGCCTGAACTTGAGGAAGCAACAAGTTTTTCAAAACCTCATGCAATGTCTTCTGAAGCCAGAGGTACCTGGTAGCTCCATTCTGGTTTCCCCATGCAAATTCCCACTTGTGCTGGGAAGGCAGATTCTGGCACAAATACATGGATATTCTTGCACGGAGCTGTGGGTACAGCCCTTGCAGCATGGCACAGGTGTGTGCATATCCCACTAACATCCCACATGCAGTGCTGCACAGCAGCCCTTGGCAGAAATTGTCCCAGCATCTCAAAGATCTGAGGTCCCAGAGCAGATCTAACACTGGACACAACAGCAGCTGGGAAACCTCCTCGGCTCTCAGGGCAGGAGAAGCATGGGCTTGGGTAGCCCAAATTTCACCTAAACACAGACAAGGCATCAAAAAAATATAAGCCTCCTCCACTGTTCCGCTATTTAGACAAGTATCTGCATTTATTTCTCTGCCAGCTGTTGCAACTGTTGCAAAACAGTTGATTCCTGGAGTGCTGGCACCTATAGCGCCCATATGCCAGAACTGGCAATAGGGTTTTACATCCACTGCAACATTGGAACCTGGAGGCTTCCCACGGTCTGCTGTTGTGACTACCCAGCTATTTTCACTGGGCAAAAGCAGATCAAAGGGCACAATGGTAAAAAATGGATATGTACAGTCTTCTGTACACACTCACTACATCACCACGAATGGCCACACAATGGGAGAAGTAATAAAATGGCAAGTCTGTTTATTTGGAATGGGAAGCAATGTTTTGGGCAAAGCCATGTTACATCCTTAAATGTTTTGTAGTTCGGTTCCAAACCTGCTTCCTCAGCTAAAGAAACAGTTCAAGCACTGAGTCCATCTCAGAATAATGAGAGACTGAGAGATTTAGATCAGATATAAAGATTTTTAATAAAGGTGGTGAGGCACTGAAACAGATCGCTC